CTTAATGACACAGCATTTTTTCTGTCTCCTACATTTCTGCCACATTTTGACAGCTCCTAATTTTATTACCAAAAAAAAGAGAAAAAGCAGTCTTTGCTATTGCTATACCCAGATACTTTGTCTTTTCAGTTTCTCTGTCATGTTTTCCCCTCATTACACACTTATTAGATCTTTCACTCCATTTAAGGTGAACTGCATTCTCTAGCCATGCAAAATATTCCTTAAGGAGCATGAATGTATTCACAAAATATGTTATGATAGTCCATTTATTAATTATGAGCTGCATTTAACAGCCTGGAGGACAGTGACCAGTGTCACCAGACACTTTCTCATCAAATGCAGTCATCTCCCAGATAGCTGACTGGCTCTGTTCAAAAATTTATTAAAGATTGAGTTACTCTGCCTGTAATTTCTCAGTTCAAATGCTGCTCATGACAAAAAATAGTACAATTTCAGTACCCTGGGACCTATCCCAAATACATAAATACCTCAAGCACAAAAAATCATTTTAACCACCTCTTTCAATTCTGAACCATATCAAATCATAGGATCATTCTGAGTTGAAAGGGACCCACAAGGATCAACCAGTCCAATTCCAGGCCCTTCCCAAGACAACACCAAGAGTCTCCCACCCTGTGCCTGAGAGCATTGTCCAAATGCTACTTAACTCCGGCACGTTTGGTGCTGTGACCACTTCCCCTTATATTCCTTTATAAACCAAATTATTTTCGTACTCAGAAGTCAGAGAGCAAAGGGGTGACCCACAGGCTCAGCAGTTGAAGATGTAACAAGGATCAATGCTGTTGGATTGCAACTTTAAAGACAAAATACAGAGAAACAATAAATCCAATGTTTAAAAAGATAAAAAATGATAAAACATCAGATAAAACACCATCAGCTATAGGGCTTGCTTGTTTGGATTAATTTATACCAAAACTAAGCACTATATATTTCTTTAAACAAGAAAAATATCATTTTATTGCATTGCTAGAGGCAGAACTTGCACACACAACCACAAAAGACAGGGAGAAAAGTCAGCCAAGCCATCTCATCAGTTCTTTCTGGAGCAATACAGAAAACAACAGATATTTGCTTTTGGCATCAGTGGAGGAAAGGGGTTTTGGTCCTTTTTTCCTTTAGATATCTTCTCCTCCCCTCTCTAAGTCAGGGGATTTAAATATTCTATTTCATTTTATTGCAGATAATTCAAGCCTTGCTTCAAACACAGGAATAATCCTTTTATGGAGTTATGGTGCATGCATAGTAAACAGCTTTATATTTACAACACCATTACACCCACCCTCCCACCACTGTACAAGAATGATTACCCTCATTTTTCATATCCAAATCTAAATTACATTATTCAGAATTGCTTAAAATGTAGAGCACTGTAGGTCTGAAACCTCTAGAATCTGAATTTCCACTGTGATTAGCACTTCTGAGGTGTTGTCAGCACATCCCACTGGCACAGCTCCACTCCTCAGGACTCAGGAATTGTAATCCCAGTCCATATTCTGAGAGCAGGCACCCTCCTACTCACCAGAGATCCCAAGTGCCCAGTAAATGCTATTTTTGCCTGTCACTGCCCCCTCTCTATTCCATCATGGAGAACACATTTCCCAACAATCTGTGTGCAGCCCTTGCTGTGGCACAGACAACCATGGAATCACAGAATTGCTTGGATTGGAGAAGATCTCTCAGATCATCGAGTCCAACTCCAGCCCTGCCAAGGCCACCAATAAGCCAAGTGCCACCATCCCCATGGCTTTTAAATTCCCCCCAGGACTGGGGACTCCAAACTGCCCTGGGCAGCTGTGCCAGGCCAGGGCTGGACAAGCCTTTGGGTGAAGTAAACTTCCCTCATATCCAACCTGACCCTCCCCTGGCCCAGCCTGAGGCCGTTCCCTCTCCTCCTGTCCCTGTTCCCTAGAGCACAGCCCGACCCCCCCGGCTGTCCCCTCCTGTCAGGAGCTGTGCAGAGCCACAAGGTCCCCCCTCAGCCTCCTTTTCTCCAGGCTGAGCCCCTTCCCAGCTCCTTCAGCCTCTCCTGGTGCTCCAGCCCCTTCCCCAGCTCTGCTCCTTTCCCTGAACAAAGTTATTCCTAGATATAAATATATATTTTTACATCCACATATATTTTACTTTGCAGTTAGCAAACACACACCACTGTCAATGCCATCTATCTTCACCTCAGTTTTCATCAAGCACAGTTTCCTGGTCTTTCTCATTGCATTTCTTCTCACTCAATAATTTCATTCTCTTTCTGTCTACCTCCCCACCACACTCCAGTTTGATGCGCAGGTCCTGTCTCTGCTGCACACCATGAGGGCTTTGGGGAGGACACCAGATAAATCCATCCCACAGTTTAAACTGTGCCAATAAAGCAGTCCCTCAATAACCAGAAGAGATGAGAACTTACCAGATCAAAATCATCATTTTCTGAGTGAAAACAGAGCCTTTTCAGAGTTCAAAGTAAGTTCTTCAAAAATTTATCTATGCAACTTCCATAAATTTGGCCAAATATCATGAGGGGGAAATAAACCGTGCACCCCCATTTGCATTAAGGACTCAGAGATATTTCATAAACATAAAATATATGCCAAATTTTAATAATAAATTACTAATAAGACCAGGAACACCTACTTTTAAATGATCTAAGAGTAAAGCAGCAACAAGGCATTAAAAACGTTCTTTTGTCATCAATCAACTTCAAATAGGACTTTAAAGGAAAAAATCTACTAAGAAACAGATTTTTGAGCTCTCCTTATTTCTACATAAATTATCTCTGAGAAGCAATAAATGACAACTATCTTCAAAACTTTGCTGCTAATAACTCACAGGTGACTTTACACAATCCCCCAGTGTATAGAGTGTGACAATTATCAAAAGACCTAGTTAAACACAATGGCTGTGCTTCAAATAGGTAGAATAATTATTTGTATTCCATGTGAAGATATTTTGACTGAGAAAATGTTGAAGTTATTCACACTGCAGTTATTTGAAGCACTAAGCCACAGAACACTGATTCCAAAATCTGAAATAATGAAGGCTGAAAAGTGTTAAAATAATGGAAAAAACCCTGTAAACTTATTCTTAACACAAAATAATCATCTTGGCATATAACACAGGGTTTAGTAAGCACTTTTTACCAAATATAAACTGATCTCAATTAATATGACTGGGCCTGTAAAATAAATATTCTGCAAAAACTTTTTCATTAGAAAATACAAAGTTCCTTTCCCTTGCTGAAGTTATATACTACCACCATAAAAAGCAAGGGTTTTTCCTCCACTGCCTTTTAACTCATGGCATAGTTTCACTAGTTTGCTAATATTGCTTGTTTTCTTGCTTACAAAACACAAAGGTAAATTCACAATCATCCCACCATCACCAGCCATAAATTTTGACTTTCCCTGGAGGCAAGAGAATGTCATCTTTGTTGCAAAATTAGGTGTGAATAAATCTCATTCAACAGCTAAGCAGTGAGTTAGAAAATGAATAATACAATTGTTTCAGTCTCTGTATCCTCATAAGTAAAGTTTTCATTTAGTTTCCTAAAATAAGAAAGAGAGAATTCCCCAAAAAGGCTGTTTTTTCCACATGTAATTAGGAACAGAACAGGCTACTATGGCTACACATCTTGTGCTGCAACACACAGAAAGTGGAACATCACAGAAAGTGGAAAAGACTTTACCTGAAGAGAAAAAGGATGAATATTCTCATAGAAGCAGGGGACAATATCTGATGTCTTGCACAGTCTTCACTACATTTATTTTCACAAAGCACAACAACTCTCTTTGCATTGAACAACAGTCTTTTTTCCAGAAGGCAGTAGCAGCATCATCAGTTTGGGACAGAGAAGTCACATGTTTTCTGTCCCTGTTTGTCAAACCTTGCTGTCCATAACATGCAAAGTCCCACACAAAAGCTGCAGCACAGTCAGACCACACAGGGATATTCCCAGGATCTTATCCACCAGGGACCTGTGAGCTAAGAGGGCCCTGAAAACCCTGAGGAATTCCTTAAATCTTAACCCACAGTAGTTGTGCAGGAAAAGCCACAGATGTAAGAATACATGGAGGAGACGATCCCAGTCCAACATGCTGTGACATGAACCACCTGCACTACCACTCCACTTCCAGCCCTAAATGCAGCAGGACTGAGCAGCTCCTGATGTAACACGTGCTGGGATTGCAACCTTGGGTGATAATCAAAGTGAAAAGGACACCATTCCCTAATAGTAACTTCAACAAGTCTTTGCCTTAAGTCAAAATGAAAGACGAAAATGTTGTCAGAGACTGTCTGCAGTAACCTTTCTGTTCACTGCCTGAAGTACAATCCTCACATGTGAGATAGGGAGAAATCATCAGACAGGACTGCTAATGAAATTAACAGCTAAACAATTAGCTGTCTGGAAAGTTGCTTAAGTGAAACCATATCTATTGCTGGAACAGAGGCTGCAGCACTTTGCCCACAGCTGAAATCACTGCTATCAACTCTGTTTGAAAGATGCTTTTTCCATGACTTTGATTAACATAATTCAAGATTCAAGTTGAATGTTAATGTTTCCAGGACACTGAGCTCCATCACCATTTTCGTTTGTCTTGTCTTCCTGACTTGCTAGACAAACATGATTTTACCACTCAGGCAACCTCAGATCTTGGTCACATAACTAAACTGGCAGATTAATCAGACTTTGCATTTTCTAGAACCATGTAGTGAGATTTGTCAAGGATCCTAGAGATAACAAGAACTTATTTTTCTCACTATCCCAGCCACTCATATGAGCACAAATAACTCCTTGTAATTCCAGTCCATTAGCAGCAAACAACTATTCCTCACCAAAACCAACACAACTCAATGTCTGCTCTTTGCCTCTGCAGTCTGAGGAAATGGGTGTGAAAGAAAAGGGGAATTTGAGTCCTGTATAACAACTTAGTTAAAAGCTCTGTAGATGGTGTGGAGAAACACCTCATTCTCCACACCCTGCTGATACTCACATCAAACTCATTCAAAGCAGCAGCCAGCTCTCCTATGCCAGTGTGGCCCTTGTTCTCATCGGTGGGCGAGGTGGCCTGGGCAGCGTTGGAGATGCCAGCAATGGCCTCCTGCACTTGCTTGAAGACGTAGTCCCTGTTGGCCCTCGTGGCCGCCACGTCGGGGTGGCGCAGGAAGGCCTGCGAGGCCGTGTACAACATGGTGGCATTCTTCTTCAGAGCCCCGCGGGCCGCGGCCATCTCGTCCCTGCAGTGAGGATCCTTCAGCTCCTGCACGAGAGCACACGGCTTTCAGAGTTGGAAGCGAAAGGGTTTGTGTTAGAATGCATTGCTTTGAGCATCCGGGCATGGACGCCGTGCAGTGGTTTGGCAGAGATGGAATCCATGGCAGAACCCAGCACAAATCACTGAAAGAATTCCCCTCCTGCCCAAGGAAGCCCTCCTGTGTCACTACAGCTGTTACACTCTGCTCACAATATCTTACCTAAGAGTCACTTCCCTTTTGCAAAAACCCATGACAAATGCACATAAAACATTCAAAATTACTCTTCCCAAACAAATGGATTCCTTCTGCTGGTTCCATAATGGCAACACTCCTGTTGCAGCAAGTGACTTGTCTTTCTAATTATTACACCCATGTCCTTTATAAAATTATCATAAGGCAGACCTTTAAAAAAATCAAACTAGAAGTATTACATAGATGAATATCATAGAATGACAGAATCAAAGAATTGACTAGGTTGGAAAAGAGCTTTGAGATCGTTCAGTCCAACCTATGACCTAACACCATATGGCTTTAGTCCTTAAAGACCTAACAAATATGCCTCTCAATATTTCTATTTTGCTTCCCTTCATATTTCTCTTTATTCCCCATATCATTTAGAGTTTTCATATTTAGAATATGACAAAAAACTTTCTTTTGTTCCCTCTGCCAACAAGAATCAGATACTGCATAATATGTTATCAGAATTTTGTATTATTATTATTTAACCCCTGATTTTTCTTTTCAGTTATAGTGTATATCATATTGTCCTTGAATGTCTTACAAACATTAAGACAGCCTTCATAATATTAATTAGGAATAACAAAATGTTATTACTTCTACTTTAAAACTATGAACAAACCAGTCTGGAGATCTGAATATTTTATTTATGTCCACACATGGAATCCATCATCAACACTGAAAAAGGACCCAGATATTCTGGATTTAAAGGCTCTACCCTCTGATTAATTTCAACCACATGTGGCTAACAGGTAACAGTCTTCAGAAAGAATTTTTGCCATATTCTTGTGTCTTCAATGAGAACTTAAAAGATATAAGCATCCATTAACTTTCATATTTTTCTCTTTTTTCCATATTTGCAGCTCTTTTTCCACAGGGGAAGTGTCTGAATGTACAGGAGAGCATTCTCCATATAGTGCCTAGATTGTACATTTTAATTTATTTGCCTTAATCAGATGGTTTGCTTTCTGTGGTCCTGCAAGGAGCAGGGAGATGAGCTTGATAATCCTTACAGGTCTCTTCCAACTTGAGATATTCAATGATTCAATTTTAGTATAACTCTTAAAATGCAATTTTTCATAAAAAAGCCCCACAATCATGATTCTAAGAAAATGATCATTACTGCAATTCAGAAAATAAGGTAAATAGGTGGATGAATATGGAAAGCCAACTTTCCAAATGCCAGTGTTCAATGCAGTACAAAGATGGCACATCCTTGAATTATTGGTGGTATTCAAATATAATTGAAGTTGGAGAGACCTTATACAACTCTACAGTGTCTTGAAAAGAGCATAGTTCAGGGGAAAGCTATCTTTATTTCAAAGTTGCAAAATGACCAGCCTTGAATAAATGTTATCATGATTTTCTGGTCTCTTTTTCAGCTGTCTTAGCAATGAATAAATGGATAAATGAATATTTTTTTTTTAAATAACCTGAAAATTATTAATAATTGTTTGAAGCACAAAGTAGATTTCTGTTCCTCCTGAACTTGAATTACACTAACTAGCAAAGAGCTCGTGCTTTACCAGCTGTCAGAGTGACCTGAAATCTGCATAGGTTAGAATTAAATGGGAATAATCATCAAATTAAAACTATCCTTAACCTCTTGAATCACTTCCCTTTTCACCCTTCAATCTGTTAATAATTGAAGCCTCTTGGAAGGTACTCTTAAAAGAAATGGCACTTCTGAAAAACTTCATCACATTCAAAAATAATCAGTGTAATTAAACTATAGGCCATGACATAGCAATTAGTGGTTCATTGTACATTTTAAACCAGACTTGGATATAAAATAGGAGAACTTTAGAATGAAGATGGATTTTTCCAACCCCTCCTGTACTCACCTGTTGTCGCCTTGCAGCGACATAGTTCAGCTTAACCATTTCCTTCCCAAATTCCTTAAAGCGATTGGCTAAATCTTGCTCATTTGTTGCATTTTTCACAGCTTCTAGCGCCTCCTCTACCTACAACACAATAAATCAGCTCTGTCAGCATCTTAATCCACTCTTTGAAAAAATCTGTGACTGTTCCACCCAATACTCTGTCTTACATGGACCCAATTTAGGTTTCACATCCTTCACTGTACAGAAGTTTTATGAAAGTCCCATGAACTTTAATTAGGTTTTTAATAGAGCAACTGTCACTCTGCATTTCTGTCCATTTACTGTGCTTTGGGATCATGTAAAGCTAATGTCAAAGATATCACTGTTTTAATTTCCCTGCCCACACTGATGAAATATTTAATATCTATGGGGTTCAAAACAAAATACATGAGTATGTTCTTAATGTGTGGTACAGGCTTTGTGGGAAAACAAAGAAAGTTATCACTTCTGGACAAGAAATATTTAAAAAGAAAATTCAAACTTACCATTAAGGTTTAAATTTACCCTGAAAAATCCAAAACACTATCTTTGTGAAACACATGACAGCTTCCACCCAGATTATTTGCATTATTTCTTTTTTCTCAGCTCTGAGCTTTCTTTCTTTAGTTATTCAACACTGAGAAAAGAACCTACCCAAAAACCCACACCTGACTTATGCAGTGATGCTGCAGCTAACAGACAAAAATATAAAACCCCAGTTATACCAACAAGTTGATTCACCAAATGTATTGTGAACCTTTACCTTATGCAAAGCAAGAAAAATATCTTAAGGGATAAAATGCTCTTTTCATGCAATGAGTAAAGGAAACATTACTGTGACTACATGGAAATTCAAAGTTGTACTTCTCTCCCTTGCAAGATAAAAATGCAATTTCAAGCAAAAACATTGAGAACTGAAAAGATGCTACTGATCCTTCCTGATGAAAGTTGTTGTTCAGCTAAAAGCTGCAGTTCATAAGAACATGCATAAAAAATTTTCCCATCAAAAGGCAAGGGCTTATTGACATGGAGAAAAGCAGGGGTTTGCAGCCCTCCAGACACTGTTGGAAATTGATAAATTCAGCAGTAGCTGGTGTCTAATAGTTTAGAAAGGCACAATTATGTGCAGAACCTGTCTTTTTATTGCTTGAGTTGCTCTGTGTTTTCCTACCACTGAGAGAGTATATTTTCATTTTGAGCTTTTACCTACTTACTGCAGAATTACAAATTACAGGGCAGTGCAGTAGCAAACTCATACATTTCTATTGGAAAATGCATAATTCAGGAACATAAATTCATAGCTATTATGCTGGAAATTATAAACCAAGTTCTGTCAATTTACAATCTACAAGCTTATTCAGAATCCAAGTTACCTCTTCTTCTACTCTTAACGAGAACAGTTTTTTAAAAATGAACTGACTGCCTTATCATTAACACAAATTGCAAAAGCATCAATGTATTAAATAATTTGCTCTTGCAGAATTTCTTGCAAAATATGCCCATTTTCCTTTTTTTATAAGGAAACATTTTCATTAAAATAGCTGAAAGTTTCATCTTTATTATATTTGTAATGCCAAGCACAGGCATGACAAACTGATACATGTTTTTCTAAGTCCTTCCCCATATTAAATAGAAATCTTGAAAATTTTGTCAGAGATTCCACTCTGATAATCAGATTTCAAAGGATGCTGATCGTACTCTGTCATGTCAGTCAGGGCTCAAGACCACAGATTCCAAAATCAAGAAATCAGTTATGAGAAATACTAGAAAGGACAGGAGCACAAGCTCTTTTTTAATGATACTTTTATTATTACAATTTCTTTTTTACAAATTCATACTGGAGCAAGTTCTCCATCCTTGAGACAGCACTCAACTTCAACTGATCTGTTCCTCTGATTAACCAGCTTGGAATTAATTACAATAGATCTATAATTCTCTGTGTGCATGACCACATACTATAATGGTACATGGTTTTTTAATGTGTTACAAAAGCTTCTGCAATAACCACTATTTCTAATTTTAGCAGTGTAAAAGATAACCTGAATGCAATGACCAAGTCCTTCCAGAAAGCACCTGCATATATTCCCTCTAAAATACTAATTAAAATGCACCATTTCCTGGGAAGCCTTTGACATGCTTTCAGAGAAAACTGATTACAGTACAATTCAGCATAAATCAGGCTTCATTACTCTGACATGCAGAATTATTTTAGTTCATTAATTTTATGGGTAACTTACACAAGTCTTTGAAGGTTACCTTTGAGTCAATAGAAGAGCTTTTCCTCCATCAATTTTGTATAGTATAACCACTTTTCCCCCTAGTAATTTGTCTAAAAGCAGTTAGCACTGCAAAGTGGTAAAATAAGGATATTTACATGTCCAATCCTCAGAAATAAATTACCCTTTTTAACATGAAAATAGAAGTAACAGTTAAGGTCCTTATGTTGAATTTTGCTGAAAAGAACCAGAGATCACCGACTTCTGAAAGTGAACTTCCAATACCATTAGATAAATGCAGAGATTACAAACCACACTGCCAGACATAGCCCTTACAAATCTGGGGTGCAAACTGTGCAAGTAAATACAGCCACTTAAAAACCAGCACTGGACATTTGTATTTTACATAACAGTGTACTCTGCTTCAAAAGAACTCTCAGATGGGAGAACAGAATTTCTCATTGTCCATGAAAGAGCTTGAATACAAATTTTCATCATAATGTTCAGAAAAAACCTGTTGTTTATGATATTCAAGTGTTGGCCTTGCTAGGAAAGGACAATTTGAATTACAGTTACATGGAGCATTATAGAGAGGAAAAATGTAAAGCATATTGGAGAGAGACACTGCTTACACTGCACATAACCAGAGCCACATGCTGACAATTCTGAGAGCAGCATTTTATCTATTAAAGCAGAGTTCACTAGAACCTGTGCTGAAAAATCAGCCTCTTTCCTTATGAAAACTGCTTTCCAGCTATTCAGGTTATCTGCACAGTTTGCAAGTTGAAAGGTTCTGTTTTTCCAGAACATGAGATTGTTGTACAGTTACACTGTCAAAAAGACAAATTAAAAAAAAAAAAAAAAAGGAAAAAAAACCCAAAACACTTTTTGAACAGTTGCTAAAAAGAAGCAACTTTACATCTCCTCTGTTGAATTCACACATGCATTCTGCAGGCTTTAAATATCCTGTATATGATTTTCTGCACAATTTTATTTTGTTTCAGAGGTTTTTGATTATTTGTTTCTGCAATAAAAATGTAACGGTGCAACAGCTAGGGAAGGTGGAAAAATGCATTTCCTACTTTCCACTGAAAATATTCTTAATTCTCCTGTATAAAAATGTGAATGGTGGTGGTCAAAAGTGAATATAAATCTGTCTAAACTATCTGGTAATCTTTAATTCCTCTTTAATCTTTGATTAGACCATTGTACTATTGTCTCTCTCCAAATTAAACATTTGATCTTTAGATATATTCAGAAGTCACAAAGAGAAAAAAAAAGAGTAGACAACCAAAGTTCCTAAACTGCGCCAGAAAACAAAAATACTGGGAGAGTAACTGGGTAAGATGTGAGGGGAACAAATGCTTCAGCCACTGAAGACTCACAAGACTCACAGGTCACAAATTTTGCTTTAAGTGTTCAAATATTAATTTCTGCAGAATTAGAAAATGAATGAGACTAATGCAGAAATATGTTAACTCCCACCTCTGATCAGCACTTCAAGAGAACCACATGGGGAGTAAAGACTGTGAACAGTCACCTTCCTAACTGATTTATCCCGTTTTTCCACGCACAAAGCACACAAACCCAAGAGAGAAGGTGAAAAACGCCTACGATTTTGAGGTGTGAGAGGAGCCTCATGACATCAGCCATGTCAGCCAGGATGAGCAGGCGGGTGACGGCCGAGAGCAGGGCGCGGGCAGCGCGCACCATGGTGCCCCTCTTCACCGAGGAGCAGGGGTCGTCCGCGAACTCCGACGAGGCGATCCGCATCGTCTCTCCTGGCAGAGGAACACAAACGGCCCTCAGGTTAGCGTTCAGCATTGTGGGTTTGGTTTTCCCACAGAGCATATAAAATAAGTGCTGCTGGGAAAAAAAATCAGAGAAACACCAAAGCCCTGGGTTGGAAGGGGACTTGAAGCACATCCAGTTCCACTCCATAGATACCTTCCACTGTCCCAGGGCGATCCAAGCCCCATCTAACTTCTCCTTGGACATTTTCAGGGATCCAGGGGCATCCACAGCTTCCCTGGGCAACCTTCCCAGGGCCTCACCACCATCACAGGGAACAATTCCTTTCCACTATCCCATACAGTCCTGCACCCTGGCAGTTTGAAGCCATTCCCTCTTGTCCTGCCACTCCATGCTGTGTTTCAAGTCCCTCTCCAGCTCTCCTGGAGTCCCTTTAGGCACTGGGAGGTCCCCCTGCAGCCTCCTCTTCTCCAGGCTGAACAATCTCACTTCTCCCAGAGTGGCTATGATTCACAGATTTTATATTAACCCAACCTTTGCTGTTGTTAAAAAAAAAATCCTGTTTGTCTCCAGTGTAGAATCTCAAAAAGAAAGTACTTCTAAAGTGAAATCAAAGCATATTTACATTGCTTTTAAGACCATTACAACAACACTTTAAAAAATCCCATATGGCAAAATTTCCCATAAGACAATGCAAATAGTGAGGGAGAGATTTAAGATAGCCACAGTGATTAATTCCCATCAGAACTATTTTCCTTATTGTATTTACCATTAAGACTGTGCCTTCAAATTATAATTTGCAAGCAGAGTATCTTGGATGATAAGCTGAAAATATAAAATTTCAAAATACAATTCAAATGGCTCATTTCTAAAGCTATATATTCCTCTTATCTTTCCACAGGGTTGGCAAAACTCTCTACAAATTTCTTAGGAGACAATTAACAAACAATCATTGCTAGATAAAAGGAGAACAAACCACATTTCTAAACATACTTAAATGCTATATTGCTCAGCATCACAGAGCTGAAATTCAAGGTAAGAAAGAAAACAAGGTTTCTGGAGGAGGACCACAGTTTGCTGTCCCTACCATCCCATGAATTTTTAATGTGTGCCAAAAAACACTAAAGCTAGAAGCAAGGAATTCTGAACCACAAAGATTTTTTCTAACACATACTTTCATTCAAACAGTTGCTTGAAAAATTTATTCACAACTCTTGGCTGAGAGTGTGCTACAAATTGGGAATAAAACTTCACTATTATTATTATTATTATTATTATTATTATTATTAGTCAATGACTCAAATATTTAATGTAAGAGGAGATATTGAGAGAGAGCACAGAACAGCTGAAAGCCTAGCATGTGAGCAAGGGTTGGATGTGAGTTTCCTAACTGGGAATTTGATTCCAGTGCAGGATTGGCTTCATCTAACGAGTGTAACATTGTAAGACATCATCATCCCTCCAATTATTTATTGAGAGAAAACAACAATCCCAGAGCATTGGGATAAGAGTTTGCTCCAAAATGCTCTCTTAGAGCATACTGAGCTGACTGAACCCAAGGGGACACAAACAACCACAGGAAATCCCAGCAAGGCTTTCCCTTATTTAAGCTCTAAGTAGGATTCAGATGAGATGGAAGTGATTCCAAGCATCCAGCAGCAAAACCCTTTTAAGCGAAAGTACTGAATTTTAGAGAAATCCAAGCTGAAGTAGCAGACAAAGAAAGCTTTCAATTTTGGAATCGGATGCCTGAAAGTTGTTTAACTTCCATTTTGTTACTGAAGAGATTTTAACATGTTCTGCCAAATTAGCAGTGTGTAGCTTCAGATAAATATTTATATTGGACTATGAAAGAAAGAGTAATATTTGATAATTGGCCAGTGGCACCAGGAAAGCAAGAAGGAAAATTATCTTAGTCTTGAATAAACAAGGAGACATACCTTGCAAGAAGATTTAAAAATCAACACTCAATAGCAGAGGAAAAATGCACAGAGGGTCAAAAGGAAACATAAACAAACAAAACAACAAAAAAAAAATTAAAAAGCTTGGATTAGATATTTAATCTTAGAAAGCTCACATTAGGTGAAATGAAACCCCAAAATGATGAAGTAAAAATTATTAAACGGACATAATAAAATAAGCAAACCAAAAAACTATGAGTATAGAAGTTCACAGCAGGTTGTTTAAAACTTAACAGATCTAGTAGTTCATAATTTAGAAACTAATAACCAAAGAAACTAGCAGTTATGGGGAGGAAGGCTCATCTGATTCAGTGCCAATTAACATATTTTTACCCTTTTATGGCAGTGGTATCAAACTACTCTTAGGCTAAAGGTATCAGTGGAGCTTCAGCTAGCCCAATTATGCTTTAGAGAAACCTTTTTATCTGGAAAAAATCAACTGTACATTTAGTTATCCATTTCTTTCCAAATGCATTTCAAGTTGTTCTGTAACCTATATTAAATTACTTTCAGTGAAAATTGGGTCAACACAAGAAACACAGACATCTGAAGCCATCAGGTCTGCTTCTTTGCCACTGCAGTCAGTCAAGTGATAATATAATTAATAATAATCTTAATATGATAATAGCTACACTCATAAACTTATCAAGATTCCATCTTAGAAACAGCTCAGACATTTAACCCCAATTAATCCTATGTGAAGTGGGAAATTCACTCCAGAATGAACTCCAGAATCTGACAGGTTCTTTTCATTAGACACTTTAATGCCATATTGCCTGTATTTGTAGATAATTTAAATCCATTTCTTCTCATGACCCATTTGTCCTTCAGTTTCACTGTGTTCTTCTTCCACTCTTGGCCCTATTGTCCCTTTTTAGCTTTGTGCATTTTTGTGAGGAGTCCTGACAGACTAAAGGCAGTACTTCAGTCCCTTCTAATTGCACACAATATCCATTTCTATAATCATTACAGCAGCCCCATGAAAAAATTCTGCTTCTGGAGTACAAATGATAAGAACTGCAGGTTTCTAGGACCATTTGCAGCTATGAGAAATACTCATGGAATCCCAGAATATCCTGGGTTGGAACTGTAGGAATCACCGAGTCCAGCTCCTGGCCCTACACAGGACACCCCAACAATCCCACCATGTCCCCAGAGCTTAAGAACTGCAAACATCTATCAACAGATGATTGCAAAGGTCACCAAAAAAAGCTGCTGGAATTTCATGAGCAGACTTAAGGTAAAACATCTACCTGTGAGGAAAGCATTGAACCAAGGCTTTCACTGGTTAATAGACAGAGGAAATGTCATTTTTTCTAAAGCCTTGAAGTGTTTATTAAGAGATAGAAGATGGGAAGCGAGTAGCAATCCAGAGAACAGCTGTGATCAGTAGGGGATGCTCACAATACAACAAACACCTGGAAATAATTACCAGAACAATGACAAATTGATTGGATGCACCACTCCTGAGCAGTTCCCAAATGGAAGAAGTTAATAAAGCTACAGTCTAATTAATGCATTTCTTTCAGATTTTTCCTTTTGTTCTACATGTCCATGATTAAAAAGACAGAACAAGTGATCCATGACATAATGGAAGTATTTTAGAGTGCTCTCCTCGTAATTAGAGCAAAAGCACTGTTATGAAGCTGTCCTAAATTGTAATAATATATAGACCCAAACTGAGTTGCACATTCCACATAAGAGAGTGAGGATTATACTAAATGATGATATGATAGATTTGAACAACCCATAATTGTTAATAAGGTATATTTAAATTATGTAAGCAGGTTTTTATTCCTTTCATCATGGATGTTGTCTTGTTAAGAAACAAAAGCAAACCCAAAGATCTGCAATTTTATCCCCCTTGGATTTGTCTAGAAATTCACCAAATAGAGCAGGATCACTCACTTTCCATACCAGTATATATCTGAATAGTCAAATTTTAGGAATAATGACCTGGATTGTTTGTTTCTCACTGTCTGTATTCCTCCTACCTTATTAATCACATTGATTATTTACCACATCTCTTAAAACATCGTATTTTGTTTATAGTATTTTAAAAACCATTCTCCATAACTGAACATATTTATTTCAGTATCAACCTCTGTTTGATATTATCAGAATGTGGGAAGTTATTTTTAGAGTATTTTTGTCCTGCATACTCACTAAATGCAAATATGCATTAAAAATTCTATTCAGAATTCTAAAAGCTTTACACAAATGGCTGTTTAGTCTTGTCTTTCCTTAAAACTTTTTTCCTAAATCTTTACTGCTGTGTCCTCTAAACTCATCTCCTCTTCCACCTGCAGCTGGCATTTTGTTCTCCATTTGTAGGAGGATGACCACTGCTCTCATCATTTTAATGGATTTCAAGGCCAGAAAAGGCAGTCTCTGATCAAGCCCGATCTTTTCCTGTCACATTTCAGCTCCTGGAGCTGTGTCTGGAACTGATTGTACAGACAATCCAGCTCACTTACATTTGACTCACTTTACATTTGATATTTAGACAGAGTGATGGAAGATGAATCACTCTGAATTTTAAAGTACAATGGATATCCTTAAATCTAGCAAGTATTTTAGATTCAATGTTCTCTCTTAGATCCAAGAACACACCACATCATTCACTTCATGGACCATTAAAATATGTAATTTTAATTAACCCAACTACTTCTTTCCTGAGGGGCTGAAAATAGCAAGAATACAGAAATACAGAACTTTTAAGGTATTTAGCCAATATCTATGACAATGTAAGACAATTTATCCACTAATGTTATGTTTTAGAAAGAACTTTTCTAATTAATAGTCAGATTAATAGTACATTTGGAACATCACTGATACACTTAAGTACAATAAAAACCCAATTAAATTTCAATTCAAAACTAAATTGTTTGGGATGTAAGGATACATTAGCATCTCTAATCCCTCTTTGTCTGAAACTCAGTTACTCCAAGGATTAACATCCTTCAGGGACACACTAAACTGATCTGCCTGCACTGAACTGGAGAGTGCAGGGAACATCAATATGAACATTTTAGATGCTCAGCACCGTGTCTGGGAACACAAAAATG